CATATATACACACATATACACATACATACATACATATACACACATACATACATACACTTATTTTTATCACCTTGTTTTACCACTTTAGTATTTTACTATTGTATTGTTACTGGTATGTCCCGCGATGTTACCTATTAATAGCCTATTTTATTGTTTTTAGTTTTGATTTATTTATCGGTTCTTATCGTTTTGTGAATCAAATCTGTTTTGAAAAGTACTACATAAATACAAGTATTAGTTGTTAATATTATTTCATGTTAAAGACACGCCATTGTATGTCATAATTCCATCTCAGCTGACCAACACACCACTTACTGCTCGGGTTGGGTAATCGTACCACCGAGCATCAATAGTCGCCAACTACAGAAAGCTGCCAGTAATGTCTGGTCAAGTTATATTCTTACGGAAATGTATCGCGTAATGGGGATATAGAATACTATGTAACGTTAATGCGTATTACTAACATACAGTCTCTCGTATGGAACAGATATGGTCTCTTACAGAACTGATAATACCACCACGAGAAACACAAACCGAAAGCTTCACGTTATTCTCTCTGTGGGTGAAATGAGCCACAGACTGACTCTAAGCGGACTCGTCCATCACTACAGATGAACGACAGTTGTCTGCAGCGGTTAACGAGGAAGACGAGCCAATGTGAAGCCAGCTACAGTAACAGTTAGCTACATATCCGCTTCAGCAGTGCTAGAAACGATAGTCAGAGACCACAACAATGAGCATTTAAACTATTTGTCGAAGCTTTACAGATAAACCAATCAGCGCGAGAAAGACAAAAAAAAAAACTGGTCTGTATTCTGAAATAAACTAAAGTTCTCTCTCTTCAGTCTAAACCTTTTCTGTAGCTTGTCCGCTAGCTAGCAGCTAACGATGGCTGCTGGCTGAGTCAGCTCGGCTAGCTACTTGTTTGGGTTGACTACCAACTAACGTTAACCGACAACACGAACACTTCTGTTACCGCTTCGTTAACACCAACATGAAACATTAACCTTAAACGATTTAATCAATCACTACGTTATGCAACGCAAGACCACTTAGCAGGACTGGAGGCTACAGCGTTGGACAATATTTAAAGGTTATCTCACCACACCAGATCCCCGATCCGCAGATGCACCGTCGCCATCTTACAACTTTAATAAAACGTCGCACTGACTGAGGGGAGAAGACAACACACACCCACTAATCACATGTTCCTCGCTTCTTCTTCTTCTAGTTTAATTGGCGGATCGCAACCAACTTGAATAGGTGCATACCGCCACCTACTGTACCGGGGTGTGCAGTTTCAGAGTACAAGTTGCATCACTGTTCTAAAGGATAACAATAATAACAATATTTATTTTTGAAAAAAATCCTACGGTCTAATCCCGTTTCTTTACGAAATCCCAACAGTGCCCTGCAGCACTCACGCCATTCTTCGTCCACTGCAAGAACACCCTCCAAACTACACCTCCGTCCCATGACACATTTTTTGCTTCAAGATGTTCCTGTCTGTATTGTATCTTCGACACAACATTGCAAATACAGACAGAGATAGAGAGACTGGTCTCTATCCCTGGTCTTTGTCCCTGGTCCCTGTCTCTGGTCCCTGTCTCTGGTCCCTGGTCTCTGGTCTCCGTCTTTGGTCTCCGTCTCTGGTCCCTGGTCTCTGTCTCTGGTCTCTGTCCCTGGTCCTCTTCCTGTGAGGCTGGCGGATTTATCGAGTCCAGCATCCATACCTGTGTCCCACCACCAGGTGGCAGAGTATGATTTACTACACTGTGGTGTAGACTTTGTGTGTGTGTCTGTGTGTAGTGTGGGGTGTAATACGTTGGTGAAGTCTGAATGTATTCACAGTAGAGTATTACTTACTACACTGTGGAGCTTCATATCTTTAATCAGCAATTGGCTAAACTGCTTCACAGACCCGCCTCCTGTGGGCGATTTTTCCAGCACCCCAGAGCTGCTGAGACATGCAGGAGGGGACGTGCAGGAAAAGTATATATTTTGCGCAGATATCATATTTTACACATATATACAACGTGAACAATAGAAAATGAATTATACTTCCAGCACAGACCCCACATATACTTCTGTTTCACTGACTGTGTGAAGAGTTTTTACAATGTGACTTTAGTTTTGACTAATGCATTTTAGCGATCGTAAAAAATAAAAATAAAAAATAAAAACTGTATTGCATTTGATATTTGAACTTATGATTGAACAAGCTGTAGTCTGGTTGGTTCTACTTTCAGCTCTTTTAAAGAGGACTTACTGCCACCAACTAGTGAGACATCTTTATGGGTCCTTTGGTCGAAGTAATTATTCTGAGAGTAGATCAGTATATGTGTGTGAGTGCACTTTTCTAGGGGGAAAGACATACAACCAAGGGTCCCTGGCTGGAATCAAACCATGGAACGCTAAAATTACAATATACTAGGATAACAGGACATTTTTACATTTTACAGAGAACTTTGACATTTTGTTTTGAAATGAATGCTGTATGAATAAAGTCTCTCATTATTATTATTATCATTAATTTTATTATTATTATTTCCTACAAATAGTGACACAACATCAGCTTTAAGTGCAGGGCCATCACTGAGCTGTTCTATTTACAGTTGTGTGAAAAAGTGTTTGCCCCCTTCCTGATTTCTTATTTTTTTGCATGTTTGTCACACTTAAATGTTTCAGATCATCAAACAAATTTAAATATTAGACAAAGATAACACAAGTAAACACAAAATGCAGTTTTTAAATGAAGGTTTTTATTATTAAGGGGGAAAAAAAATCCAAACCTACATGGCCCTGTGTGAAAAAGTGATTGCCCCCTAAACCTAATAACTGGTTGGGCCACCCTTAGCAGCAACAACTGCAATCAAGCGTTTGCGATAACTGGCAATGAGTCTTTTACAGCGCTGTAGAGGAATTTTGGCCCACTCATCTTTGCAGAATTGTTGTAATTCAGCCACATTGGAGGGTTTTCGAGCATGAACCGCCTTTTTAAGGTCATGCCACAGCATCTCAATCGGATTCAGGTCGGGACTTTGACTAGGCCACTCCAAAGTCTTCATTTTGTTTTTCTTAAGCCATTCAGAGGTAGACTTGCTGGTGTGTTTTGGATCATTGTCCTGCTGCAGAACCCAAGTGCACTTCAGCTTGAGGTCACGAACAGATGGCCGGACATTCTCCTTCAGGATTTTTTGGTAGACAGCAGAATTCATGGTTCCATTTACCACAGCAAGTCTTCCAGATCCTGAAGCAGCAAAACAGCCCCAGACCATCACACTACCACCACCATATTTTACTGTTGGTATGATGTTCCTTTTCTGAAATGCCGTGTTACTTTTACACCAGATGTAATGGGACATACACCTTCCAAAAGTTCAACTTTTGTCTCGTCAGTCCACAGAGTATTTTCCCAAAAGTCTTGGGGATCATCAAGATGTTTTCTGGCAAAACTGAGACGAGCCTTTATGTTCTTTTTGCTCAGCAGTGGTTTTCGTCTTGGAACTCTGCCATGCAGGCCATTTTTGCCCAGTCTCTTTCTTATGGTGGAGTCATGAACACTGACCTTAATTGAGGCAAGTGAGGCCTGCAGTTCTTTGGATGTTGTTCTGGGGTCTTTTGTGACCTCTTGGATGAGTCGTCGCTGCGCTCTTGGGGTAATTTTGGTCGGCCGGCCACTCCTGGGAAGGTTCACCACTGTTCCATGTTTTCACCATTTATGGATAATGGCTCTCACTATGGTTCACTGGACTCCCAAAGCTTTAGAAATGGCTTTGTAACCTTTTCCAGACTGATAGATCTCAATTACTTTGTTTCTCATTTGTTCCTGAATTTCTTTGGATCGCAGCATGATGTCTAGCTTTTGAGGATCTTTTGGTCTACCTCACTTTGTCAGGCAGGTCCTATTTAAGTGATTTCTTGATTGAGAACAGGTGTCGCAGTAATCAGGCCTGGGTGTGTCTAGAGAAATTGAACTCAGCTTTCCAAAGATGTGATAAACCACAGTTAATTTGTTTTAACAGGGGGGGGGCAATCACTTTTTCACACAGGGCCATGTAGGTTTGGATTTTTTTCCCCCTTAATAATAAAAACCTTCATTTAAAAACTGCATTTTGTGTTTACTTGTGTTATCTTTGTTTAATATTTAAATTTGTTTGATGATCTGAAACATTTAAGTGTGACAAACATGCAAAAAAATAAGAAATCAGGAAGGGGGCAAACACTTTCACACAACTTTAGATATGCAATGCTCTGTATTGGATCTCCATCATCAAATATAGCATACAGAATTAAATTACACAAAAAACATTTTCCAGTTTGATTTGACTTTTATTGAAGATTAAAGAGCAAACATCTGTTCCAGTAAACCTGGGAAAACCACAAAACCAAATGAAACTTTTAGTACCCATGTGAATTTCAATGGCAATATCCAATAAAGATATGCAAAGATATGTCCTCTCCCTCGTACCCGGTGTAAGAAATTAAAGCCTGGCTGAGCAAACTCTTCCTACCACATAAATTGTTATGTAGTTGGCCATAATAATACTAACATCAATCCATATATTTATGCCAGTACCACTAAATTGAATATTCATAAGCAAATAAATACAATTAGTAATCATCGTTACAGTAATGCCAAGTCACCATAGTATTAAAGTCAGAGTGGAAGTACAATAAAACACAAGGAGATTGTTAAACAACAGAGATGCAACAGAGGAAACAACTGAAAAATCCTCTTCCTTAGCATGTTTGCGTTTACTTGCTTTTGCCTGACACCATTACGCCAAACTCCTGGATGGATATTTCTTTGTTTATGTACTGCTGAAGCTGGCGATTAGTGATGTGCCCGAGACGCAATGCATCATCGATGGAGAACTTTTTCCCTGATTTTCTGTCATGAAGAACTGAGGATTCTCCTTTGGGGCCCTTCACCGTAATCTCCTCCCAGTCACACTCCTGGCTCTGCAGGTTGACGAACATCTTCCAGTCAATCAGCCCTAGTTTGAAGGCCTCTTCTGGTCGCATCTCCTTGCCTGTATCTGGGTCAATGACCACGATAGACCTACGCAGATGGCTCTCCCTCTGTTCCTTCTTCATTCTCACTGCCACCAGGTTCTTTTGAAGCCTCTCGATCTCGTCATCCTTCTGGTCGGTTATGCCCCTGAGCTCTGATAGTTCTTTCTGGAGTGAATCAAGCCTCAATTCCAGGTTCTTTCCTTCCTCCCTTGGTGCAGACTCAGTGATAATACGAGTCTCTTTGCTGGTGATCTCGATCTCAGCCCGAAGCCTGCGGATGTCATTCTGCAGCCTTTGGTTTTCTTGCTGCACACGGCCACTTTCATCACGGATGTATTCCAGTTCTTTTGAAGATTTGGTGTTTGTGAACTCCATATCAGAGAGCCTTGAGGTGAGGTTGGCCAACTCCTGGTCAAGTTCTCTCCTTCTCCTTTTCTCTTCATCCAGAGTCCTTCCTAGGTTCTCAATCTCAATCTCAGCCTCTGGGTCCTTTTCAACTTGGACTTTCTCAGTGCGGACAACTCTTTCCTTCACATCCATCTTCTCCAGGGTGAGCTGCTGCTGGATGAGGATATTCAACTCTTTCTCGAGCAGAGTGCGTTTGTGCTTCTCTTCATCAAGCTGTAGTCTGAGAATGGAGTGTTCCTTCTCCTGTTGGGGATCCTGTTGCAGGACTACCTTCTGTTTGACAGTCACCTTCTCACGGTTCTCTTTGTCTCGGATCTCCAGCTCAGTAAGTCTGACCCGAAGCCTTTGGATCTCCAATTCTGCATCACGCCTTGCCCTGCGCTCACGCTCCAGTTCTTCCAGTTGCAGGTCAAGGTCAGACTTCTGTCTCTGCAGTTGGGAGAGCTCAGTTTTCAGGCTTTCCTTTTGTTTTTGCTCATTGCTGATATTTTGTGAGAAGCTGTTGCACTCTGATCTGAGGAGAGGGTCTTCTTCCATCTTGACCACTTCTCGTTGAACAAACTTCTCGCGGACCTGAGACAGATCGATTTTCCTCAGTCTGATCTTCTCTTCTTGGCCTGACCGTTCATTCTCAAGGTCGAGGCGTTTCTGTTGTTCATCAGCCAGTTTCCTTTTGAGAATATCAATTTCCTCCTTAGTCTTGGGGTCTTCTCTGTATTGCAGAACTTCATTGACTATCTCTTTAGTCTGCACTTGGGGTTTGGTGTCCTTCCATCTTACAATTTCATCACGAAGTTGGCGGATTTCCATCTCAGATTTCTCAGTCTGGTGTGTTTTATCTATGATTTCATTGCGAAGTCTCTCAAGTTCTCTTTCAGTCTGTGGATCTGTCTTGTATTTGATGACTTCTTTGATGATCTCTTTGACCTCCACTTGAGGTCCTCTGTTCCTCAGCATGGTATGCTCCTCCTGTAGTGATCTAACCTGGACCTCTCCATCCCTACAACGCCTCTGTTGCTCTACAAGTTCAAGCCGGAGATTGGCCACCTCATTCTCAGCTTTGGGGTCAGGGCGGACGATCTCCCGCACCTTCTCCTGAATAACAACCTTGGACTTCTCCTCCTCTAGGCTGGAAATTTTCCTCTGGAGGTCAGCCTTTTCTCGCTGTGATGATCTTCGTTTGCCCTTCTCGTCTTCATACTGCCTTTTGAGGTTTTCTACCTCCCTTTCAAAGGCAATATCTTTCTCTACTTTCAGAACCTCTTTGATGGAAATCTTCTCCTCGGCCATTGATTTTTCCTTCTCCATCCTTCGGAGCTTCTCTTGAAGAAATTGCAGTTCATCCTCCAGCTGCTTCCTGCCATCCATTTCCTTCTGTCTCCGGTCAAGGAGCACCCGGTACTCTGTTTCGAGTTGGGGATCATTCTGCACTTTAATCACTTCCTCCTCAGTGATCACCTCCTGTTCTTTGTTCTTCTCTTCAGCTAGAAGTGTCACCTGCTTTGTTATCTGAATCAGCTCATTGTCTTTCATCAACTTCTGCCTTCTTAGCTCATCAAGCTCTTCCCGAAGCTTGCGCATTTCCTCCTCCTGATCACGGTCTCTTTCTATGCGCAAGACCTCCTTGACCGTGTATTGCTGTGCCCCTTCTTTGACCTCTGTCTCAAGGCCACGCAACTTCAACTTTAGTACCTCAAGGTCATTCACCAGGACATGGGTAGTGCGGCGCTCTTCTGAAAGTTTCTGTTGGACCTTATGGACTTCCTCGTCCAGCTGGGGGTCAGCAACCTTTTTGATCAGCTCCTTCTTGACAATTGTGTCCTGGGGCTTCTGTCCTTCAAGGACATAGATGTCAGACTGGATAGTCTCAATTTCTCTCTCTAGCTGCTCCCTCCTCTGGACCTCATCCTCCAGCTGCTTCTTGATTCTCCAAGGTTCTTCTCCTGGGGCAGCAGCATGGACTGACTTGACATTTGTAGACTGAATCATATTGGCCTGAGGTTGCTGTCAAGGGTAAATCATCATCATCATCATCATCATCATCATCATCATCATTATTATTATTATTATTATAGTGTGTAAATATTTCACCTGATTGAGAAGACTTTGGGCAAACTCCAGATTCTGAAGCCTTTGCTTGTTCACAGCATTCACCTCGGTAAACCTTGCCTCAATGGCGGATTCCTAAAAACAACATTGAAATTACATGGAGATCACATACAGTAAATGATACTTCAGTCAGTGGTTCACAGCCTTTTTGGGAAAACTATCTGCTAATTCATACGTTAAAGAAAAGTCAGAAAAAGTCAGAAAAAACCCTGAAACCCTGATGATGTCATGGTGATGTCACCTGAGTTATTTTGATTTTGGCTTTAAATCCTCAACAGAAAGGCTGTGTTATAAACTTGGAGTGCATAGTTGAAAGATGTGGACATGTATCAGTCAAATAAAAAAACACTATTGAGTTGCATTATGGGAAATGTGGGATCCTGGGTTTCTGGGGGTATGATTCAGACCAGGGACTAAAAGTCTGGATATCTCAACCTCTAATGGTTTGATTATTCTTTTTTAATGTGTCTCTCACAAGCTCCACAACATTATGGATGTGCTAAACTAAAAGTACCCCTTTAAATGTGTGTTGGTGGATTCAATGTCTAATCTATGCTGAGAAAGAGCTAGCACAGCTGTGTTTTAGTTTACTTAGGCACATGCGTGAAACAGGGAGAGGTTATGGAAAGCAGGGATGGAGAAGACAGAGATAGGTTGTATATCTTTACTGTGTACTTTAAAGTACTTGCTTATTTCACTACAGTCATGTCTGATATCTGACAAAATTGACAGTGACATGTCATAAAAGCTTAGCTGGTGTGCCTCACCTCTCCCTTGACTATCAATGCAGGTGATTCCAGTCTGTTCCTCTTGTATGTTTGAGGTACAAGTCCATCTTCAAGGTCAAGGATGGATCTAAACTTCTCCGTTTCATTCTCGTAGTCCTACAAAGAAGAACCAGTGAACCATTTATAAAACCATCATCTTATTTCACATCTGCAAGTTAAAGATAGTGATGTGGTGGTAAAAATCAATGAATATCTTACTTTGACAGCATGTTGGTAAAGCTGGGCATTTTTGGACACGTTGTTCAAGTCAGACTCCTTTCTTGCAATATCAGAGAGCAAGTTCTGAAAAGAAGAAAACAGAGAAGTTGTTTTAAGAGTATTTCTCTACACCAGGAAAATGCATATGCGAGTATGTATCGCCCTGTTGCTCATCACTCTCACCCTCTGATTCTTCAGCTTGGTCTCCACTTGTTTTGTGTCATCAGTTTCACGGGGCTCGTAGTTTGGGACACGAGACAACCAGCTGTTCAGATTATCATAATCATTGCGGTAATTGTTGTACGACATCTTAGCTCTCTGCAAGCTTTGAGACCTGTAACACACAGCAAAAGAGATCATTATACACATCCTATATATAGGACTATATGATATGTGTTTTTGTGCTATTTTACTCAATATTTCTTCCAATAATTATTGATTATTACTGACTCCTTTTCTTGACCCTCTCACCTGGCGTCGGTCTGCCGGTTGAGGTTGTCGAAACGCTTGTTGAGCTTCTGGACGTCAGCCTCTTGCCTCTCAATGTCGGGGCAGTGCTCTTGGAATTTGTTGGCCATGTTGTCACAGCTGCTTTTGGCCGAACGCAGGTTCTGCTCCGACTCAGCGATAACTGACCTCTTGGACCTCAAGTCGGATGCAGTATCCTACCATAGTAGCAAGGCAGACTAATTCAATATACACAGTAATGTTTTCTTCAGGAAAGAATAATACAGACAAGTCAATGATAAAAGCACAGTGCATTGGGGCCTTTGCATCTAGCACTTGCTAAATGTTTGAATGAGTGCAATAATTCCACAAATTTTATACTGAATATTTGGTGATGATGACAGCATCTTTTTACTTGTATACATCAGGGACATGGCTGTATGAACTTGTTAGGGGGCTCTTATTGATCCCACACCTGTTGCCTTGCCCAAGGTTTCAATATGTCAATAAATGAGTGGCAAAATGATTAAGCAATGCTTTATTTGGGAATATGAGAGCACAATATGAACTAAAATAACAATTTTCTCGAAATGATTTTTTGGCACATTAGTCTTTATTTGCAATTGTATCAATTGGATTGATCAGGATGCCCAATGATGAAGTTTTTAAGGCTACATTTTGACATAGGGAACCTGCTAGGGAGGGGCCACAAAACCATCTAATACAGGACCCATCTTAGTTAATATTGTAACTTTGTGTGGGAACCCATTGAGATGCAGCAAATATGCAGTTTTTAGATCAGTTACCCGCTTTGCCTCATTAATAATCAAGTTGATGTTGAAATATCTTCCACAAAAAATAATCGCAAAGCTGATCTTTGGAATATTCTTCCTTGTTTAGTTGAGTGTAAACAGCACAAAACCATCATGTGTATTGGTGCGTGCTTGTGCGCATGCACAGGATACAAACAAAATGGGACCTGCTGATCAATACGTTGCTCCATAGCAGTACTAGTGATCAAAAACACCATGGTGGATCTTAAAGGTTTCATTTGCCAGTATGTCATTTTCAAACAGAGCCATTATGATGTGTGCCAAAGAATAAAAGAGGTATCTTACTGAAAGTTCCCGCTGTGTTTTCTCGAGTGAGCTGATGTCAGACGGAGCAACCTCCTCCCTGGCCAGCTTGTTCTCGTAGGTAGACAGTAAAGTCTTTCCATTTTGAATGGAAGTCTCCAGCTGGTTGGAATTCTTCAGTCTAAAAAGGTAAGTGCAGTTATTCTGTGAGTAGATATGTATATAATAGAATGACAAATAAAATAGGAACGCTGTCAGCAAAAAGCAGTGTCGTAGCTTACCCAAGTAAGCTCATCCGTAAGGTTATGAATAGCTCAGTCTGTTAGCTGCGCTAAGTTGGGAAATTATTGAAATGACTGAAACTAATTTGGAGGAAGTGGGGTTTGTATGTATCTGTTCTGCAAGGTAAAATTAATGTTTTTGTAAATAGAATCTAGTGTCTTTAAAGAGAGCAATATAACTACTTCAGTTTCCCGTTGGAAATGGCTGTTTGGTGGCGAGGTAGAGTGGCTGTGGATGGGAGCCGCAGAAAAATGTATCTTAGCCACCAAAAGAAATATCAATATCAGTTTAAGTGTACGATAGGTTCAGAATGTTTGCACCAGTTTTCCTTGCCGTCAGATAGCCCTTACCGATGTGGATCAGACACCGTTATCTATACTTTATTCAAAGCCACAGACTCCATTTTACTTTGCGGAGCACAGAGGTTACTGCATCCATCGAGTTTGTTTGTGTTAATGTGTGTCTCTGACTGGGAGTGTGCTGATCGCCATCTAACTACTGTAGGTAATACACTGACTATGGATAAGAATTACATCTATACATGTGTACGATGTCATGTAGAAAGCTATGTCAGGTCACATGGGAAAATATTTATAGGAGGGCTTGGGATGCTAAAACATAGGTACGTCACCACTGAGAAGTTAGAGAATGATATACAAACCTATAAACAACAATAATAATAATAGTAATGGACCTGCCCATTAAGGAATACTACTCTCAAACAATCACAACTACCACAGAAGAGGAGACACTGAGACACAAATCAAGCCGCATACTTCTCCTGAGAGCACTGAAGAAGCTGCTCGATCTTGGTGTACTTCTTGTTTGCTTCGTCCACCTTGCTGTGAAGTTGAGGAGCGCTGGCACAAGTTGGATTTGAGACCAAGAAGCTCTTTGCTTCCTGCACTTTAGAGGACTTCTCTGGTTCAATCTTACTGACAGCAGCAGCAATGTCCTGAAGGGAACAGTCGGAGTTGGCGAGTTGTAAAAGGCATGAATACTCTCTCTAAGCTTTTTGAGCTTAATTGAGAGATGTAGGCGTTGTGTGAAACCGTATTTGGATCCATCAACAGAATGAAGTGGAAGTCATTACCCTCATATCCTGCATGCGGTCGGCGCTGTCCTGCAGTGGCCTGTTCTGCTCCAGTGGTGGGCGCACTCGAGCATAAATGTTCTTCTCCTGTTTGTCCAGGTCATTGGCAACCTTGTCCAGACCGGCCATCAGCTGGCGGCACTGCTGCTCCTGTTTGTCTAAGATCACACACACAACATGATAAGCTTCATTATCTGGCTTTATCTATTTTCTTCAGTGGCACATAGTGACAGCTCTGGTCGGCCTTAAACATGTGAAATCTTTGTCTGACATCAACATATTGTACTTTACAGAGTAATTGCTGAGATCTGGGGACACACTGACATCCCGACAGAAAAGTCTGACCTAACAAGAAACGTTGGTGGTCAAACTGAAAGTAAGCACATCTGATATGTCGATCTGACCAGGGCTGGACTGGCAATCTGGCAGACCGGGTACATTCCTGCTGGGTCGACGTGCCTTTGGGGCTAACACCATGCTTTTTCGTCTTACCAACCGGCCAATAAAGCAGGTAGATCGGCCCATTGTTTTTCTCTAAATATACACTGGGTGATGATGATAGAGAGACAAGCCTGTCTGTCTGCATCTGTCCCGCCCCCTTATGCTCTATATGTCCTATAAATACACGGATCAATGAATGAACTTTATTGGCCATCATTGTGGCATGTCTTGATAAACCTTATACTGAGGTGTCAATGAATAAAAATGATAAATAAGGTCGAATGAGTCTTAATGACAAAAGTTCTGATCAGTCAGCAGTAGGCATGGTGTTATTTAGTAATAGCTATTTACATAGTATGTGGGCTAAAACGCACTAGAAACCTAATCCTTCTTTACAATAACTCACTACTACATTTTCTGGATTCCCTAGCTGGCTATTTCTTCCCACTGGCTGGCTACGCCACATCTGTGTGGAAAGCCCGTTCATCACAGCAGAGTATACAATTTTGCAGTGACACTTTATGAAGATATTTATCATGTTTCTTTTCAATCGTCACTGATTCCCTCTTAGTCATTGGGCTATACAGAGGGAAGAACAAAGATGGGTGGGGTGAAATCGATTGTGGTGAACCAATCGGGGCCTAAGTGCCAGGGTCAATTATTTTAACCCAGTCCAGCCCTGATAATAATCCCTCATTGTGCAGGAAAACTGAGTGTGTACATCTACATTAAGTACCTGTGATGGATGTTTACTACAACAGTTTGGTAATCATTTTACCTTTTCGCCCTAGCTTCTTCTAAATAAGTTTGACTAATCTGTTTTTTTTTAATCAAGTGGCAACCTCCTGTGGTGACAAATGAAGCCATCACGGAAGTGCTAAAAACTGCAGTTCGTCAAATGGCCACTTGAGGTTGACTCCAAAAGCGAGTCAATCCCCATAGACTTCCATGCTAAAATGAGTAACTTTGCAGCAGAAATAAACATTTACAAACTGTTTTTACAGTGTTACAATTTACAGCGTGGAACATAAAACGGTTCTGGTCTCCATAAATAATATAACGTTTTTGTATAACTCCCTCATTTAAATTGTATTAAGGCATAAAGTTGCACAATTGAGGGCGTGGCCTCTGTGATTGACAGGTGGATGCCATCTCAGGTTGCTAGCTGTTGCACACCCACTATGAGCCTCATAATGGCTCTTTAGAAACACGGAGACTATACATCCAAGTTTCATACAGTCTATGGTTTGTATCCAACCTGTCTAATCATCTGACAGCTTGTGTGTCTATCCCGTCGTTTTAAGAGATGTCACGCTGTTTCCAGATCTCATCAGTTAACTTGGCGAGTACGACATTATCAGTACCAACATAAAAATGATGGCTAAACATATGAAAATAAAATCCAAGTGCTATGATCCAAGATCTAATCAACTGGACGTATCCTTTAAATGCCAACAGTACTTCAATTACAAACTGATTGTTATGTTCCTAGCTAAAACAGATTTACCTAATGAAAATGTTGCTTCCATATTCACCTGAACAACATTTCATTTTGCATATGTTAGTCTTTTATGCACACTGTTTTGACACGTGCTGAGCCATGTTCATATTGTTTATGACATTAGCTAACTGGGGCCTGGTTGGTAATCCGGCCTTCTGATGGAACTCTAGTTGATTTCACTGTGGGTGTGTGTGTGTTTATTAATACAGCCTCGTGGCCGGATTAACCATCCCTGTTAGCCTCCCAATCTGGAATATTTTATAGCCCAAAGTTTTCTGTGGCTTTGTGGTAATTTAATTTAGCACAATATAACTGAATCATGGCTCACGTAATAATAATATTATAACCCAGGTTGAGGACCTCATGTCAACGCATTGTGAAACGAAATGAAATGATCACACAGTGAACACCTGGCTTTATCCCCAGATCACCATATTAACTGATCAGTATGAAACAGTCTCAAATCCTGATTTGTGTAAATCGACCCATGATTTCTCATTAGAAACACAGCTGTATGACGCCCCAGCATGTTAAATCTACTCAGAGCAACAAATAAATCAAGTAGCTTGAAATGTGAAGACATGATGAGTGTCCTAACAGCTGCAGCACAGTTCTGTACCTGTAGCTGTGCCAGACCCGCTCTCCTTCTTCAGCTCAACGAAGCGTTTCTGCAGAGCTGCACTGCTGCTCGCCACCTTCTGCTTGACAGCTTTTTGCTGGTTTGCCAGGCTGCAATCACACAAAACATAAAAAACTGTTAAAGCTGCACTGGAATCAAATGTAATGGGAGTTTGTCATCCAGTGAACGTTGTTCTTGTACGTGTTCATACACACTCACCTGTCAGAGACTGCCAGTGCCTCGGGGGCAGTGGGGGGGATCATGAAGCAGACGGCCGGGGCAGTGAACTGATGTCCAGCTGCATCCTTTACATCCCATTTGGTCCCATTGTTCCGGAGCAGAGTGTAACTCGCCCCACGCAAAATCTGCCCCTGTAAATGTCCAACAATTACAATCTGTCATCTAGTACTTTCCTCTCAAACAGTCACATTCTAGACAACAAAACAGCTTTCTTCAGAACGTGTTTGACAGATTACTTATTGCCTTTTAATAGGAATAACTGAATTAATGTAAAGAGGCTTTTACATTTGACTTGTGGTTACTTTGTGGTATGCTCTGTCTAACCATTGTGTGTTATCAGGAGTCTTTGGCAATCAGAGCTCTTGCTGCTCTGTGCAGGACTATGTCTTGGTTTTATCTTTTGCTGGCAACAAATGATTTGTAAGATTGCATCTGGTAGAATGACACATACGTTTGTGGTAACACAAATCTGAAAGCTCCATTTTAAAAATCAGTTAGAAATAATTTTAACTGAAATTAATCATCCATGTCTGAGGCCCTGCCTGAAAACAGTGGATTGTGCCCCTCAGGTTGGGAGTGAGTCACTACCGCAAGCGAGGGAGGATCTTGGGGTCTTGTTTTATGAGTGAGGTTAAAATGGAGTGAGTGATGGACAGATACAAGCGGACTGAGCTGAGGAGCTCGGAGTAGGGCCACTGCTCTTTCACATTGAAAGGGGCCAGCTGAGATGGTTCAACAGAAAGAGGAACTGGGGTAAACCCAGAACACGAGCAGAGCAGAACTGGAAAATGTTGCTGGGAGAGAGGGACGTCTGCTAAGCCTGCTGCCCCACGACCCGGCCCCCGTAACAGGAAGATAATGGATGGAAGGAAATTAAGACTCTAAAAGAGGCTGTCAGATATGAATCAAATTAATTCATATATTTTGAAATAAACAAGCACATGAATACATTGGGTGAAGTAAATGAATGAAACAATTTGCAACATAATATAAGAAATTAATTTTAAAAAGTATTAAAACATGTATATAGAGTATATATTCAAACTTAGTTCATAGTTGAACTAAGTTCATAAAACATAGTTATTCCATGCTCTATACAGTAGAGGGCGGTAATGCTACAACAAACTGTCATCTGCCAAAAGTAAAAAGATGGCTCTCCATAAGCTCAACATCGTTCTTTACAAGTGTTTAGATTACGTGCCTCTGCAAACAGACAAAGCCTTTTGAACCTGACAAAACGGATTTGTGTCCTACATCAGGACAATCAGTGCTATTAACTAATTCAAAATAAAATGCCCCCCTGAAAGGGATTGCTGGGCTCTAGGATATAGATATAGGTCTGCTAGTGAGCTAACCTTATGCATTTTGTACTGCACATGATGGGCAATAATGAGAACCTGAAATCAGCGAGGTCAAGAGACAACCTACACACGATGAGCTTTGCTACACTTAAACTGAAGAGCTCCACAGGCTCTTTAGTCAAAGCGCAGACTTCTTCCAATCCCTTGTGTTCTCATCCTGAGGGGTTTTATATGAGATACTCAGAGTGTCAGCCTGAGCTCCCGACTGAAGGGATTTGAATACATTACACCACAAAACCAACAAGTTACAGGCCTAGTGCTTAGAAAAATCAAAGACAGAGTGCTTAGTCAGGCACTCTCATAGCTGAGAACATCCTGGGATTAGACTGATAGCCAGTGACAGAGAAAATATGGCACAAAAATAAAGTGTTTTCATTTGAAATGGGGTCACTGCAGCACAGAGAGGCAATAAGATGAGAAAGATGAAGGAAATAAGGCAGTTAGGAGAAAACTTCCAAAGAGGGAATCGCAAATGGTTGAAACTCTCTTGATTGTTCTGTTATCAGATGACTGGATAAGCTTGAAATTGTGATTTGATTGTGGATCATAAACCTATTGACCAGAGGAACAGTTACTCCTGCTGCTCTTTGCTGAGACATCAATCAAATCACTATTTTAGGATTGTTTACTTACATGTCTGTCCCAAAATGTCATCACTTAGACATTTGTGTGAAATTGAGTTATGGGCCAAAGTTATGTGAGATCAAAGTGACCTTTGAACACCAAATTATAATCAAATTTTGAATTTTAAGGTTACGATTTGATTTTCAATTTAACGTTTTTTTTCAGCAATTCTTCTTTAAAGAGGGATTCTGTATGACATCATGATCACTAAGTCAATAACAACACAACTAAAATAAACTAGATGGCAGGAGGATACTTAACAACAGCTGGTGTTTCTCAGAGTTTACGAGGTACACCGGCCATGAGGTCACAAGAAGTGCAGTGGCAGGCTACCGGTAGTAACGCTGAGTCTTATTTCAAGTGTTTTTACCCGTCTGACGCATGCAAGTAGGAGAAAAAAGATTTTGAATTCAAAAGCTTATTTTGATCAATTCTTGATTTAGAATCAAAATTGTGACACCCTAAATAACAACATTAATAATACAACATTTAAATATGTGAAACAATGTTGCTGCATACACACAAAGTAAGTTCCTAAATACTGTAACGTAACTTGGCTAGTTATCTAATCTTAGTTTAAACTAATCCTCGTCGTGTCCTAGGATGAACCAGATGAGCCTTTTCATGATTCACAAGAATCAAGAAGTCCCTGAAGTAGAGGATTTTAGTTTCTCACATTTATTAATGAGCAACAAATGCTAAGTAATAGCAGCTACACAGCCTATAAGCTTTCGACCACACACTACATACGCTGTCTGTGTCAAACTCGCACAGAGCCTCAATGGGCAGCATCTTCTTGGGGGTTTCCCGGCGGTACTTCAGAGGCAAAACCTGCAGGCTGCGCTTCTGAAGAGCCTTGACCCGTTCATCAAAGTGGTCCATGGCCTTAGCTTGGTCCTACACACACACACACACACACACACACACACACACACACACACACACAGACACACAGACACACACACAGATACACATACAGTCAGCATATGTTTTAGTGCTGTAGAAGGAGTCAGTGGTTCAGTCTGTCAGTATTAAAGAACACTCACATCCAGCTCCGTTATCAGGCCCTCTGTCTGATACATATCTTTGAACTCTGGGTTGTACTTCTGGTTGAGGTCCGTGTCCATCCGCTTCAGCAGGTCCTGAGTGTCACGCGCTTCCTTTTGGAACTGGACACACACACACACATACACAGATAAGCTTTACCTGTTTAAATGTGTGTGTGTGCGTGTGTGTGTGTGTGTGTGTGAAATGTGTACGTCCCTGTGAGTGCTCATCTGTCCCTGTGTCTTACCTTGTGGTACTCATCCATGTGTTTGAGGTGATTTTCCTCACAGATGAGCAGGTTCAGGTACTCCTTCCAGTCAGCATGGACCGCCTCCATGTGAGCCTGACAAACAACGAAGTGTGTGAGCACTTGATCAGTAAAGATACAGTGAAGACATTTTGCGTTCAAGGCACATTTTTAAAAAGTTAACCAATGCGCTGTACAGTTTTCAAGGCAAGGTTAAAAGCCTGCTGTGTATGAAGTAACAACAGATATTGGACACACACTGGTTATTGTCTTTGAGGCTGGACGTAAAGATTTCAGTTGTGTGTGTATTTCCAATATTAAGAAGTGTTCCAGGAATATAAGAATCATGACACCATCTGAGCCTAGTAATGTAAAAAAAGGTTAGTATTAATGGATTGTGTTACTCATGGATGTATAGACAACTATCACTGGATTACTTTAATAGTAAAGAAAACTTAAAAACAGGATCAGCATCAACTGCCGGCCGTGTTGGTGAGCAGCCAAACTACAATAACCACTTGTTTGTCTTTTCAGAACACCGTATCTTTGCTGAAGCAGGAAGTGAAAAGGGAAGACTATTTAAAATTCATACAGGGATGGATGAGCCTGTACCTCAATAACATTCTTCCCTGGATGCTCAGAAGCAATCAGCTTCTCTCCATCCTCATTCAGTTTGGTGACGGAGGCCTCCTTGGACTCCAGACATTTACTAATGAAGTTCTGTTGAGGCAAGACAGACGTGGACCACATTTATTTATGTGTTAGTGTCCATTGGTGCATGCACTGATGCTCATTTGATATACAGTATGTAGCTTGTTATTGTGTGGCGTTGGCTACCTCATACTGCCTCTGGCGAGCGGGGTAGTCCAGGTTGGCGTCGCTCCAGTCATAGCTGGACCTCTCCTCGGCCTGCTGGTCCATCCAGTACAGCTCATTGGTGCAGCGCTGCATGTAGTCCCGCAGGCTCAGCAGGTTGCGCTGACGAGCGCTGGAAGTGGCCTAACCAGCATACAAACATGATGACTTGGATTCCCTGGAAGCTGTTGCTCTAAGCTAACAATATTCATTTGAGGAAAATATATTTTGATAGAAATATCTAGAAAAGTCTTTCAAAATATTTTAACGGCATATGGTTTTGTTTGTAGAAAAATGAAACCATAAAAACTAGTTGACTTCAGCCCTTTATCTTTCCTCTGCAATGCAACAGCAGTGTAATACAGTATGTTTATAATACATGTGACCAATGTGTTATGTGCAGCTGCCTCATACTTAATACACAATATTGATTTGCTCATTTGTGGGGCTGTTAGCTGGAAGCAGCTGCAGACCAGCAAAACAGCTTCACAACAATAACAATGCAGCATCACTGTGGCTGTTTGTATTGATATATTTAAACCGTTTTATTCAATTTTCACTTGAAGGATAAGGCTGGCATTATTCTATGTTCTTTTTTATTTTTATTTTATACAAATCCATTGAAATCCAGTCTGTCTGTGGCACTCAGCCCTAAGTCCATTGGTTCCTGCTGAAGATGTACATTTTTTTTAAATAGTTCACAAATATGAAGTTTTATTCCCTAAAGGCTTGGTGGTTTGCTAAAACAGCAGACCGCTTCAGTTCAACTGTTTCTCAAACAGGAGGAAATTGTGTATTTGTTGGGGACTATTTTCAGCTTTGACACTGGTGAAGACACATTCGGTGTGATACGGTAAACCTGCAGTGAAGTGTTTTGTTTGCAGTCCCCAGAGGGCTAAAGGCGATGTGATGGGAGACGGAAGAGGTCTTTATATAAGACCAGCCTCCAGTCACAGGTTATGCTGATTAGAATGATATTTACACACACACAAAGCACCCCCGTGGGCTCAGAGAGTGAATGTGGGTGTGGTGGTTAATTACCAGTAGTTTGGCGTACTTCATCTGGAGGCTACTGACGTATTCCTGCAGACCAAGACAAAAATGAGGGTCATATGTTTGATTAATAAGCTGTGTGCCCCCTCTGGGACCATTCTTTTATGTGTCAGGAAACATCAGGCCTGACTTAAACATTGCTTCTTCTGACTCTCTGTTTGTACCTTGTCTCCGCTGGTGGAGATGTGAGGAGCCAGAGCCTCCACCTCACTGTGGAAGATGTTGTGTTCCTCCACCTCGTTCTCCACAGATGGCAGGTCCTGGCCAAAGCCCTTGTTGTTCAGGTTGTCCTGGGCAGAGAGACATAATAACACATTTGAGTCCCCTCCACCACACAGTGACAGTTTGGTCAAGCTGTATATGTTGAAAGTCAATAGCAGTTGATAGTATAAGAGCCAAGGGCCTCCACTATGGACAGTATGTAACAATCCACATATGTCAAACACCTATATGCTCTCATGTGAATACATATGAAAACAGTTTATTTTCTGCTTTGGCATCTTCTTAACTTGGTCATATTTTGACCTACTGACTAGGTTTTCTCATCACCCCCTATTTCTTCTTAGCTATTGGGGGCAGCAGAAGAAGTTGAAAGTATCAAAGTATCAAAATCTTTTGAAACTGATTCCCTGTTAGCAAAGTATGAGACAGTTCCACATACTGCATGTGATGCTGTATCAATATCTAATTGAGGAATAATTTCCTTGTTACAATACATTTCTGGCATCAGTTTGACATCTGGTGTCATGAGTTGCTGATGGGTAAATGTAGTGACTTTAGACCTAATCTGCTTTTTGTAAATCACTTTGGAGCCAAGATGGTGTTAACGTCTGTATGACGTTTGAGAGGGTGTGTGCTTCAAGTTTGAAAGAAATGTGATGAATGAAGAGAAACCACGTTAGAGTGTACAGAGGAGTGACTTAACGAGCCATATCAACATGCATCTGCCGATTTGTTCTCCTTCTCCGCATTGTTGGGTTAGATACGGTAGATACGACAAGTTCTGAGTGTGATCTTAGTGTCAGGTCCACAGTGGAACCCTGTGTGAGGGTACAGGTCTGCTTCCTACCAGTTTCTCATCCATCATGTTGCCCCAGTTGATGCTGGGCTTCCCCTCAGTGCGGGTCAGGTGGTAGATACGGTCATGGTCTTCTTTCAGCTTCAGCACTTTCTCACGCAGCTGCCTCATGCTGAATACACACACACACACACACACACACACACACACACACATACACACATACATTATTTCTATGAGTACAAATAATTGCAATATTTTTTTCTGAACTTAATCTCTTTTGACCATAACATTCAACAATGTACAGTGAATTCTCATATAAAAGCTGGTATGGGGGGATAACCTGCACTGTAATGACTCCATTATGTACATTTCCACGGCATCAATTTCCTGAGTACAACAACGTTGCTCGATTCTAAAATACTGGTGGATTTACATGTAGAGAAACAGGCCTTTATTTCTAATTTCCCCAGGTCACGGAAACACAACACGTCCTCCATGCAGCTTTCTGACACAAACGTACATGACGTCTTCTGGACAGGTTAGTCCAGATATCACATAGAGCCTTTCAGTATGGAGCGGGGTTCTACTCACTCCTTCTCTATCATCTCGGCCTGCGGATGCTGGAGGCGCTTGGCATTGACGGCGTCCTCATCCAGGCTGGTGAGCAGTTCTAGAGAGCTGAGGATTCTCTTGTTGGTATCATCCTGATACAGAGGCTGCTTCCCCTCGTTGATCTTACTCACATCCTGCAGAAAAACACAGTGGACGTAGGAAGGTCAATCAGGTGCAGTCAGACAAATCAGAGTTATAACAGCGTGAGCTGGGTGACTACAGAAAGACTGCATCACAAACTGCAGGTGTAGAGTTTAAGAGACCTGTGTGTTTACAAATCAGGAAGGGTCTATAGGAATGAAAGGGTCTAATGAAAGGCATTATGGGAAATGTAGGATTCTGTGTTTTGGGGTTCTGAGTCAGGAGTTTTAGGGCTGCTGCTTCAAGTCTTTTAAAAATAAATAAGTCTCTTGAAAGTCTTCCAACTTTATGAAAGTGCAACACCTGTTAATTACTGTAGTACTTTTTGAATAAATGTAGGAATGTTACTGAGACAAAACCAACACGACCCTTCAAAGTCCCAGTGAAACAGAGCGTCTTTAGCGTCTGTTACAGTTTCTGATGTTTGATGAGTCATCCTGCTCTCAGGAGCTAAACATAACCCAATCAAATGCAAAGGATTTGATTTGAATCTGCCCCTCAAATATTCTGTTTCACTGTGAAATACGTCACAGTGCAGAAGCTGAAGACGCTCCGACCTCTCCTTCAGTGGGAGTTAAAAAGAAACGGATAATTGTTGTATTTTATTTCATCTTAACGTGATAACTGCAGACCCAAAAATAAAACACATGAAATACATAAAGAGCATTGCACCAATTGATCATGGTGGCCTTTAATCCTCTTTACTCAACACTGCAGCACTAGTTGAACTCAGTGTTGCTTCTCCTGGTCATTCTATCATCTGAAGGTATTTGTATATAGAGAGGTTTCTCTCTAACTGTGTATCTGGTTATCAGACTGTACCTTGTTGAGGTTCTGCTCGATGTCATAGCTGTACTTCTCCACTTTATCAGCATTCTTCTGCAGCTTGTCGATCAGAGTGCTCAGTTCTGTGGACGGAGCGCTGGAAGACAAACGGACCTCATCAGGCTAACACGACACAATAACCAATACTAACACGTCAACACATTATAGTTCATTCAACTTTAGTTTATCGTTATTTTACTGTTAACAAACAATGAAATGATAATTGATCATGTTGAATAATTATTTGTAATGCTACAGTTTATTGTTGCACACATTAGAGCATTAAGCCTTTTTTAATGATTACTAAATGATTTTTAAACCTTTAAGAAAACTTTTGTAAAACATCTAACAGATAAATGTTTGTAACATTTTGTTAATGGTTAATAATTGGTTAACATTATTTCGACAGCTAATACTTCGTCGATGCTTAATCTTTGCTTACTCGTCCATCTGTATGTTTAGAAAAAGATTTCTCAAAGGTTAACAACTCATTTGATTATCATTAACATATTCTTAATGTGGAATGTTACAATGTTTTTCCAACGATAAACTGTTAATAAATTGTTTACTACTGTACTCAAACATTTGTATGCACATAGCTGCCAAACTTAAAAACAACAAGCATCAGTCACAGATTAACGAGACTGTGATATGTTGAATGAACAACTTCTTCATTTAGAGCAGAGAGGCTGACAGGAAACAGGTTGACATCATTCCTGAAAAGGAAACTAGCAGACACATCTCATCCAATCACCGTGAGACCATCACTCACTCTGATGTGTGCCAAAGAGCAGCGTGTGAAGCATCACTCCTAGCGTACAGAGGGTACAGGTCATATAATATATACAACTTCTAGAGCAGTGTGGTCCTAGAGCCTGTCTGATAAATAAGCTGATTTAGTAAAAATATAAGGCGTCTACATTAATGTCTCAGATATGTTTGAGGTCCTTTCGAAACAGAGTTTCAATTTCACAGTTTGCCCACCAGAGAGCACTGCCACCTTTATTGTTTCACTGCAAAAAGTCGCACATTAGTTTTTACCAAACTAATGTGGGGGTTGGTCATCCAATATTGTGTTACATATTGTTATCAGACTTGCTATGATTTATTGGTATCCAGTATTCGTGGGCTCTATTCATATTCCCTTTCCAAACCACATTACCCTCATTTCACTTTCTATAAACTCCAAGCATTGCTTTTTTTATTCAAATACATTCTTGGCGGGAAATTCCATTTAACGCTGCAAATTATTTACAGCACCCCTCATATGTCACATGATACCAATAAATGTTATGACATTAATGTTACACATTAACTCCAACACAAGCAAATACCATCCAAGTCATTACCTTCCAAACGTGATTTTGTTTTGTGAGTGTGTGTGTGTGTGCTTGTGTGTGTGTGTGCTTGTGTGCGCTCGCTGGTGATAGACAGAGCAAAAAGAGTCCATGTCTGTCAATTCAAATCCACCATCCATCTCCCCACACACACACACAAGTTACATAACATCTGCCAAACGAACACTGGACGCTGACTTTCATTTCAAAGCCCCTGGTTTTGAAATGAAATAATATCAGAGCAGGTTTGAAGTGAAAACACAAACAAGTGTGAACAGGTAGTGTAGAGCTGTGCTGCAGCAGCTGCCAGTTAGTCTGTCGAGGCCCATCCGAATAAAAAACACCCTGAAGAGGGTGAAATAAGTCAAAGCGCTGCTTTACACATATCTGTGGGAGCATAGAACATTTGTGGTTTTCAAAGCAGATATGTTTGTTTGAAAGTTCAGACCAGATGAAAACTAACTGTGCATTGGTCTGTTGAGTGTTAAGCAATCCTACCGACTGTTCAAAGAGAATAATAAACACTGTTTTCTTGAATCCCAGTACCAGAATACTGCTTTTCAGACTCAAGCGTCTGAAACCAATGCACCAATAATCCTACCTGCTCTACGATGTATTGTGAGCTACAAACATGCTGTCAATAGTTTCCAGGGAGGCTCACTGGCTCGGACTCAATGTTTTCAGTGCGGTTGTGTTGGCTCTGGAGCGTTCGCTTGAGAAACACAACTCAGATGTTCCCACAGGGAGAGGGTGAAATTAGAAGCAGAAAGCTCCAGCGTTATGTCAGAGGGTGTGGGGGGCTTCTGCTGTCAGTGAGCCCCACAGCACAACACCAGTCCTGCTCTGTCCCAGCCATATGTTGCAGATACATGGAGTATGAGACAATGGCCCCTGACCGATTGGGCCCCTCAGCATGTGCCCAGGAGGCCCGGTCCATCCATGTCTGTATAAGGAGAGGAAATGTACAACATAGTGCCTCCTTGTGCCTGTCTTATAATTTCTTTTGTAACAGATCTAGACTAGCACAAAAACACCTAATTGTTGCAAGCTCCGAGGCTTTGCGATCCAGCCATCTTTAGATCTCCTGCTTGGACTTGAAGCTGTCATTAGCTGCCAGCGTGCCAGATACCTGAGATCACAGCTTTCATGCACCAACTACAGACTGCATAAGGAGAGCCGTATGAGGAGAATGAGGAGGGTGGAGCTGCATTATTAGGATTCCTCCACCGTTTGTTGGTGGTTATCAAGGTGTTCAGCAGTGATTATAATCAGGACTTATCTTGGCATCCTCCTTGTCTCACTGCCTGAGGAGTAGAAACCAATACGCCACAAACATGCAAATATATCATGGTTTGTTCTGGACTCTAACGAAGTGCCTCCTGCATATATGCTTTATGGGATTCCTCATGTTTTCTACAGTATTATATTCTGTATCATGTCGCTTGACTCTTGCACTGTATTTATTGTTCTGTTCCAAAGTACCAAGACAAAGTCCTTGTATGTGCAAACCTGCTTGGTAATAATTCTTTAAGATAAATAAATAAAGACTAGCAGTCATTCCCTTTCTCTGGAGGGTTCCTATTGAAACACAGATTAGTCCATCTTCTAGTACTTGACACCAGAGGGTGTTATTTTTGGGGCCCCTACATGCTGAGTGACATGGAGCATTGCTCAATGAGCAGCCATGGGATGATGGTTTAACCTCTCCAGCCTCTCCAGGGGGAACTCAGACCCAGTGGAAAGACTAACAGTGGAAGGGAGTAGGCTTGGTGCGTTCGTATGGTGGGAGAGGCTGAAAGCCATTCCTCACGCTGACATCTGAATACCTCACAAACCAGTTACTACAACTTTACTGCGCAGCCTGTGGAGCACCACACCCTCTCTGGAGTCAAAGCACACATTATGCAATCTCATCTACACCCTCTCGTTGCTGTCTTGAACGCAGATGATACGGACTTAAAATGAAGTTACATCCAAATGATTCAGGGAGTGCATTCACATTAGTATGAACCACGTTAGTCCACGAGACGCGATGTTCAGAAAAGAACCATAAAAGTTACAAGATAAAAAGGACGACATCTGCACGCTCGATACACCACGTTTTGTATTAGACGGAGGTCTTTATGAATAAATACGACACGGTGTTTAGTTAATTAAACCTAGTATACATTATGTTTACATACATTTGAATAGGCTACTTGTCACACTATTCCTACAACGGTGACCAAAGATGACATATTTACTCGTAATGTTCCTCCTAATGAAGACGGACTGACAGATTGTGTCAAGTTAGCACATGTTGGTATTTAGTGACTTTACCGCAAAGCAAGGTCACTTCAAACCGGAGTTTTAACGTTGGTTCTCGGTGTGTGTCAGTGGAGTCACGTTACGTGTGGAGCCAGCAGACCGGAGGACTCACGGCTACAGGGTCCAGGAGACGCCATAGCTCGTTGTAAACCCACTGTCCCGTAGACTACCGCTACTCACCTTGTAATTGGCTGCGTTATCGCGGTGGTCTTGGACTTTTTCTTGAACATGTTGACAGGTCACCTGGCACCGGCTTCCGACGAGAAAACAATCCCAACAGGACAGGTGAACCTCGGCTGTGAGTGAGTCCTCTGCTCGTTCCGCTGCTCCGGGTGTGTATGTGTACGTCCACACTCCTTCTCAATGCCACCGCTTCCACTCCCACAGACACTGTGGCTCACTGTCAGTGTTCACACCCACGTTCCTGTGGACACTACCTGTCAGACAGCAGGGGACAGGTGGGGCCTCAGAGCCAGGCCCCGCCCTCACAGCCAAGCACAATATACGCACACACAGACGGGCTGATATCGCTAATGCAAATATACAGTATTTAAATAGTAATAATAACTTAAAAGCCTACTAAATAATATAGCCTGAAAAAGGGAAAAAAGGACAGTAACTGTCTCTAAAGTATATTGCATATTATTATTATGACACACAAACAAATAAAGGCCAAACTATGTAAAACAGGGCGTGACAACACATTTGTGTAGAGGAAAAACAAGTGTCTGTTTGTGCAGTTGATGTGATGTAACAGGTACAGGTGGACTTATCATCACAGAGTGCATGGTGTAGAGTAGGACATGATGCCACTTACTGTTTAATACAGATCAACTATGAATCTATCCATGATAGATCAATCCATGAAGTCCTTCGTAGTCTGTGTGTGTCTGTGTGTGTGTGTGTCTGTGTCTGTGTGTGTGTGTGTGTGTGTGTGCGTGGGTGATTAGCTCTGTAGGGGGTGTGACAGAAAGGACTTTACTGGCTGAACCAGTCAGACTCAATATTCTGCCCCTACTACATGTGTGTGTGTGTGTGTGTGCGTGTCTGTGTGTGACAGTGATACAGGATCTCCAGGTGAACTATTTCCTAACTGAACTATAGGTAAGGGGACATCAAACTAGCTTTGACTTCACACTGAACATTGTGCTACTTTTGTGATTCGATCAGCATTTTAAATAAAACCCAGTTCCCTTCAGTTCATTTAGATTTTTCACATAAGATACATTTTAAACCCGTTTTGCGGCCACACGGTTTCCACACCTGAAAGTAGAACATTTTTTAAGAGAAAAAAATGGAGGACTCACAAGAGACAGATCAAGAATACATCTTTCAACATGAAGTAGCAGAGGCTGAGATGTCAGTTGTTTGTCCGTGCCTTATAAAGAGAGTCCATTTCTGCGTAAGCGTTACCTGCCTTGTTGACATATTGTAGGTGTTTAACATTACCTTGGTTAAACAGCATGTTGCGTTGTTTGCTTTTTTTTTTTTCAACACTCTGTGACTGAGTGAGGGTGAACCTCTGTGTCTGTCCAATGCTAATCTCACATTCTGCTGGTGCTCTACATAATACTGTGGGTGTCCAGTTATGGACGTATGGAAGTCACTAACTTTCTCCAACTATTTGCATGATGTGTGCCTGGCAACACTTTGACTCCGTACTATTGGAGAGAGGGTTCATACAAATAGGTATCCATTAGCAAATATTGACCTTCAACAACCTTTTAACAGGTAAAGAAGTTGAAACAGACTGTCTTCTAATTTCTGACTCAACACACACTTCCAGTTTAAGTTTGTCCTAAGTCCTAATTTGCCAAAAGTTACAATTTCTAAACTTCCAACCCCTCTGCCAATCCTATAATGTATCCCTCCAACAAAGCATCCAGAAGCAGTTCACTCCATAGTAAAAGACAACTACAAAATCCTGCTTTAAAGAGTAAACTGTGCAGCGTCTTGAAATCCGATCATCCGTTAAACTTGAATTCCAGGTTCATGTTTAATCTTCTCACTGTAGCAACATGCCCACCCCTCTTCAGCCATTTGTGTTGTTTGTCTGGAGAGCTATTGACAGTCTGAACATGCCCTTGTGTTTCTTTAATTCATAACAATTAAAACAAATCTTCACTGTCTTCTTGTAGACCTCAATGTAAACCTGTTGAAGCTTTCCAGGACTGTCAAGAGTGGAGTCTTCTTCAAACAGGGTCATTCTTTCCATCCTTTCTGGTGGAATGAAACAGTGTCATTCAACATCTGGGCTGACGGCCATGACCTCTCAACCATGGAGGGAGAGGCTGTTATCAGCTGGAAGGAAGAGAAATCGGCCATGGGTGTGAGCCCAAACAATGGTGTCTGTGTGTGTGTCTGTTTCCATGTTCCCATGTCTAGTTTTGGGAAACAACAGTATAGTCTTTAGTTCTATCTTTTCCCCTGACACCTCTTCCCCTCCTTTGGGTTGTAGCATGCAAACAGCAAAACCTCTTTTGCAGGTGTCCAATTTGGAATAGTAGCCTACTGCAAGAGTTAAAGTGTTAAAGAAGGACGCTTGTTCTAAGTGAATTACAATCTATTCAAATGATTCTTCATGTTGTCCATCTTCACAGGGAAATATTACTCAAAGTGCGTGGTTGAATTTATCTGTCTGACTCTTTCAGTCAGTATGCTGCCACCAGCAGCTATATTTAACAGGCCAATCGTTTGTTCTCATTATAGTAAGTCAGTGACCCCAGACTTCATGATAGTTTCACCTTTGACTACACAGAAGCTTTAGTTTAAAGAAGTTCTAACCTGAGGCAAACACCACCTGACCCTTTGCTCCGGTGAGTGTATCTTAGGTTTGCTTGACTGACTGGTGTCTCAGCCTTCTTCTGTGCTCCTTCCATCACCTCCACCACGTTACCTCCCTTTAACTTGGCAGAAGGTGTCAGTGAGCAGCAAAACCAAACTCCAGAACCTGGTACTACTACGTACTACTTACTACTTACATGTAATCTATTTTTGGATACATTTTCTGGATACTGTCATCTGATCAGACGTCAATATGCAAATTAGGTAGGTGGTGCTGGCAGACTCAAGTGATGGTCAGCTTTTTTGCCAGCTTGCCAAACTTGACTAATCTTATCTATACTGTAAGGCCACTTTCAGGACAACGGTGCCCTGTGTGAAAAAAGCCCTCTCATTTATTTGAATGGAGCCAGTGGGTCCACACAGCAGGAGCCCAAACAGAGGGGGCTCCAGCAAAACAACGCAGGGTTGTCCCTTTTCTGCAACACAATGTGGTGTCATCATTTAATTTCATGAGTATTTGGGACAAATTCAATATACATAGGAATGTAACGTATACAACATCCAAGAGTTAAACCATGTGGAACGTTTTGTTGTCCGTAAAGGAACAGCAGTATAACTTGCCAACACTCATATATACAGAATATACAGATTCAGACACACACACACACACACACACACACACACACACACACTGTCTTGCATGTAGTAGAGGTCCTTTGAGAGCCCCAAAGCAGTACTGTTGTATGAGCTCTATTGTGTCTCCGTTGTAGAGGGGGAGCTCATCTTGAGATACAAAGAAGAGGTGGAGTAAGGTGACCTTTACACTTGCTGGATGGATTTTTAAAGATAGTGATCAAACAGATGTCATTAGATCTGATTACAATGTCTGATAACATTAAGATAACGGAGGCCATATACAGATACATGTTAATACCAGGTGGAAATACTGTCTCTATTTCAAAACGTCCCTTCAGAAACATGTACATTTAGTCCGAGATGGCACATGCAGCTGATGTGACATCAGCACTAGAGTTTTGGGTCTAAAACTGAGACCTGGGCCTTAAAGGGACAGTGTGTAGGATTTGGTGGCATCTGGCCGTGAGGTTGCAGATTGCAACCAACTGAATACCCCTCCGCTCACTCTTTCCTTTCCAAGACTGTGGTAACGTGAGTCGCCAAGTGCAAAACCGTTGTAACGCCGTTCACCTTGCTCAGAGGCCAACCATACCATAATAACACCACTTTAGGAGCAACAGAAGTCAGACGGCGGCTGGCGGTACCACAGGTTTACATTCTGTGGCTTGATTAGGTTTCACAAGTGCATAGAGAACTACGGTGGCTTTCAGGTAACGTAACAGCGTGAAAGTCTCTCTCTAGAGTCCGTTTGGTTTGTCCGTTCTAGGCTACTGTAGCAACAAAATGACCCAATGAAAGTGAGTATGAATATGTAACAGAGCAGAATGAGATGGGAGAAGCAGAGAGAGGACAGACAACTTTGTAGAAAACATTTTCTGATGGTCCACGTGGTTTTGCTCTTATCCAGCTGAAGGACAATAACATCCGCTGGGTGAATTACAGGCCAAAATGCATTGTCTCATCCATGGATATAGTTGTAATTTGGTAATTAGGGTGTAGAGCAGTGATTTGGAAACAGATGAAACTTCCCAAAGGCATTCTAAGGTAGTTCAAAAGGTGAATATGACACAAGCAGCTTGAAACAGTATGGATAAACGGAGAGTTCTAATGAGTTAACAGGAGTTGTGTTGCATCGAGGCCTCTATCTGACCGAGCTGCACTTATCTCATGTCATGTCATCAGAAGCTAACAGTGATATCTGACCCCATCACCACTGCATTCCTCTACTGATACAAGGGTGAGAGTCGATCAATGAAGGGACCAGCCTGATTTCTGCTTAAACATTAACATCATGCCAAACACACATGCTGCTCAAACTACAACCTGAAACTACATTTGTCGCTGGATGAAAAAGGATACGTTTCGACTGGTGAATTGATTTATGAATATTTTCACTTCATTTGGACTTCTGAAAATGTTTTAAACCAGTATTAAACCAATGAATTATATTTTATGCAGAAAACATTCTTGCTTGTAATTAATTAACATGTTATAACAATTCCCCTAAAACCTCCTTTAACTTTTATGATATTAAGAGGTGAAAGGAACATAGTAGAGGCAACTCTGAATTGTATCCATAAATCACCAAAGGTGAACTGTGTAAATGGTGCTCACTGTCCTCAGTCTGCCCTTACATGAATGATAAAGGGCTTTAACCCTTGGAACCTCATCAGAGCGTTAGTGTACAATAACCTTACTTTATACAGTAAAGTACCATCAAATCAAAGTGTTTTAAATTAATACATTCATCTCTTGGCCAAGATAGGAAGCGATAAAACAGGGTATAGATTTAGGAAATGTAAGACAGGTGACCCAAAATAAAGATAAATATCATAAATGAAATCACAACTAAGAGTTGGTTTTAAAGTCTATTTTGTATCTGCAATATTTTTCTATTTACGTTCCGTAATGAACCGGAATACTTTACTAATTCTGAAATAACCTGATGTTACCATAATAGATTTAATTTAATCCAGGTTTCACAAAATAATATTTTCACATTCT